AGAATTTCAGAACCGAGATTCCAACTTAAGAACTGAATCGGGGGGGCGGAGCTTACCTGCCAAGCAAAACAGACGTGCCTGCTAAGAGCTCCTGAGCCTGAGGCCAAGATTTGGGTTTTAACACCCGACCACCCGAGCGTACCAGCTGTGGACAGCGATAGTCCAGAACAGGAGGTGATGCTGCATCGGGGGATACCAAATATGAGACCCTCCGTGGCGGAATTGACCACATCGCAGCCTGCGGCCTACATGGGTGGGAGCCGAGGAGAGGCGGCCGCTCTCCCAGTTCTCTGGCTGAAGAGGGAGCAATCTCACATCGCCTCCCCCCCCCCATTGGACCAGTGGGGGATATCACGGTCCCTGCTGAGCTGGACGACCGCAGCCATGGACAAAGCAGAGGTAGCAGCGACACTCTCGGGCAGAATAAGAGCGGCGACACCCAAGATGGCGGACGCGCCTAACTCCACAACACGCGGCAAGCAAATAATGCAACCAGAGGCAGCAGGCCCTAACAGCAAAGCAACCGACAAAATCGAGGAGCTCTTTAACAAATTTTGGGCAAAGCTATCACGTAGAGCGAAGCAAACGGCATCCATCCAAAAGTTACCCACGGGCGAAAGTAGAAGCAGCGAGCTGAGGCGCGGGAAACCCCCGGAAGGCGAGAAGGTGTCCCAAGCTAATACAACAAGCAGAGGCTACCCACCAGGGCGGAGAGCGCAGAGGGTCCTAATCGGCAAGCACAAACTACCCCCAAGGAGGGCTGCAACATATACACAACAGCCTAAACCAAGAACGTGCAAGGTCCAACCAAACGGGAAGATCACAGACCCCAGAAGACACCAAGGTCACTACCAAGAGGTACCAACCCCTCCGAGACCCTGGGGCAGGACTGACAACTCGGTTACACATCACCACAATATTAGCCATTTCAACAGTGGCAGGGAACGGAGGAGTGCCTGCCAGAGTAGCCTCAACGGGACCCACCCGATGACAACTCTACATGGCACACCTACCATGGTCCACAAGCAGAGGTTTGGGATCAGCACACAGTCTCTCTTGCACCTGAGTGCCACACGCCTACCAGACAAAGAATCGGCCGGTCTCCACTGGCTCACCTGCGGGATCGGATGATGGATGGCACCAAAGGCGGACTATGCCTATACAAGCTTAAGAGCGGTGATAAGGCATAACCTCACCGAGGCTGGTGCACTGTTCCCCTACTTATTGTTATCTCAGCTTGCTAATACAGTAGGCAAGGATAGACCAATTTACTTTAATTTTGTTAATTAGCCATTTTTTTTTTATTTATCTATGTTTCTCCCCTCGCAATACACTAGCAGAATGACAATCAACAAATGTTTTAATTGTGTATGGCTGGTACTTAAATGTTACTAACAAAATGTGCAGAACTTAAGTGCCAAATTGTGAATCTTGCCAGATATTTAGACATCTGCCTGACCACCCGGTGGAGCCTTGTTTCATGTAGATGTGGAGGCAGTAACACATCCTGTGTGTTTTTAAAATTTATGCTTTATGCCTTAGCCGATTTGCTTCAGACCCAATCTGTCTGCATGGTACCTAAACGTAAACGTGTGTCTCATAGTAAATACAATATTTAAGCATGTCATAATATAATGTTTAAGCATGTCCTCATATATATCATACATGACCTAACGCATTACTAGTTAAGCAAGATAGCATTGCAATCTCACTGTTGTTGTTTTAAAAATTTCACTAACCTTTTTGACGAGACATAACTAATCAAACTAGTATGCAACGAATTGTATTAATCGTTACTTAAATAACCCTAAAAATTGTGCATGTTTCTCCTAAACCCCAATGTAACATTGAAACGCTGGAGGATTGCCTTTGGGGTACCTTACAAGCGACTGTTACTTACCTATGCACTAAAAAAAAAAAATAGAACCGAATCAGAAGAACAAAAAAGGCACAAAATATGTCCCAATCAGTGTGCTGTAAAATACATACATAATATAATATAATACTATTTATATATCTTGTAGTACACTGCTAAGAGCATTTTCCTGCCAGAGAGAAAAACAGGAGGATCAGTAGCACCCCAACCCCCCATATTTATATATTATATATTTATTAAATCTATAGTAATATAGTTTTTTGTTTTACTGATTCTCCTTTTTTCCTTCTGTTGCCCACTTCTCACTTGATCCATGAATAAAATCATCAATTGGTTTCTGTCCCCGAGATATCCCCTGATATCTCCAGAAGAAGAAGAGCCAAGCTGACAGATGCCATCTACTCAACTTCAGGGTTAGACCAATCATAAACACTTAATCTTTTAAGGTAAGAAGGGGCACAGGGAGTCGTGGCACCATAGGAACGTCATTAAAATAAAGTTGTTATGGTGTCCGAAGTGTTCCTTTGACCTACAGTTGTCAACAGGTGGCCTCAATTTTCTTTTCTTCTGGTCTTGGAAATATTTGAAAAAAATAAATAAATAAAAACTTAAAACCTGAAGCAGCTTTAAAAAAAAAAAAAATGGAAAGAATTAATTAAATAAATAAATAAAAACATGCTCACGTTATAAAGGTGGACTTTAGGTTCCCATGATAGAAAATAATCTGCTCATAAACAGGTAGTCAATAAATAGACAAGCTGAACATAAACTCCAATTTGACGGAATTGCATGTTTTTCCATATATACTATTTTAGTATAAATTGTATATGTTGTTTTCATAACACCCATCTTTTAGGGGTTTTACAATGGGGCAGGAGTGAGGAAGAGCCCGAATGGAGGAATGTGCGAGTTGCGCAATGTACACCTTGGGTGACCCCCGGTGGCTGGAAAGGAAAATGACAATTTAGCTCACAGGTGGCTAAGTTGACAAGGGCAATGCAAGCCGGACAGTCATGCTTGCCTATGAGCGGAGTTCTGTCGAAATGCTCTCCCTTAAGGTAAATGGATTTGTCTAGCTACAAGCTCATTTAAAGAAACACTATAGTGTCAGGAATACAAACATGTATTCCCAGCACTATAGTGTTAAAATAACTATTGAGGTCTCCAAGCCCCTTTGGATCACATGGGAAAGGTGAGTTTACTTACCTTTTTTTCCCAAACCATGCTGGTCTCACAGTGGCTGGCCTTGCCTCCATGTCTAAAATCATCAATCTTGCTTTCCCATATGATAACCTCTACCTGCATGTTTTACTGACTTTTAATTGGGCACCAGAGAATGGTGACAAGAGCATATTGATCCAAAATCAGGACTGTCAATCTAGATCTGGGCCAGTTAGAAGGCATGAGGTTTTCAAGTCACCATAACTGCCAAAACTAAGGCCAAAAACCCTACTTAACTCATTGCATGAAATGAAAAACAAAAATTGTTATTGTTATGCGTACTGAGTGTCCACATTAAATTAAAGGGACACTATAGTCACCAGAACAACTACAGCTTAATGTAGTTCTGGTGAGTATAATCATTGTATGCAGGCAAAGGGGGGGCCCCATGGGAAAGCATTGAATTGGTTAAAAATCTGCAACCAAGGGGGTGGGGCCAGTGCCGGCAGACCCACCCGGTGCTGGAAATAAGGTGAATTTTATTAACTTTTACAGGTGTTAAGGGGGGCAAGCTACCTAAATGGTGGGTTTTGCACTATAGGGTCAGGAATACATGTAATCCAGTGAATTAAATTGCTGCAGCAATAAGACTGCCCTCTGGATAAGTGACGTTTAAGAATTAATTTTACTTCCTTATATTCTGTCCAATATTAATCCAACTTGAGGGCACATGTTACACACACACAATTAATCAGATATATCTTACCTCCCACATTAAACTCTGGAGGGAGACAGAGCTGAAACGGTACAGATATGAACTATGTTGTGTATAAACAGAAAGCAGTCAGCTTACTGAACTGTTACAGAGAACTAAAACTACATAACCCATAAACCCCTTAACCCAAAAACCCATAAATAGCACATCTGCTTCATATTATGAGCAGATTCTGTTGCTGGAGACCTGCTTCAATTTTAAGAACTAAAGGTTTTCTTCTTAATAATTCTTAATAACTATTAATTTTCTTAATATTTTTTTGTTTGCATAGAATTTAATTCATTATCTATATAAAGCATTAAATATTGCGGGTCACGTTCTGTGTATTACAGTGGCAAGTAACTTTTAGGGCCTGGCCAGTAGTGTAATAATTCACAAACGGAGGATACCGCACTCTCACTTATCAGGGCCATGGTTGTCAAAACCCAGTTTAGTAGATAACATAAATTAGGTCCAGGCCCTCAGGATTGCTGCAGGAAGGCAGGTTTGTTGGATAAAAGTGCAATGTTTTGGCCTACACAGAGACCTTTATCAGACCAGTGTTGTAAGACTTAAAAGTTTAAGCCCTAGTGTATATTATGTATTTTATATACTGGAAATTGCTTGGAAGAAAAATCTAGTGGCTGATCAGATTTCCTGTATTAATTATGCCTTATTTGTAATATAATTTTACTTTGAACAGCATACAGACTTTTGGGATATGGCAGTGAACATTTTACTGTAATAGACGTTTATTTTCTTTACTTCTGATACTGATGCGTTTTGAGCCAGAAAAGACAAGCAGTCATATTCTGTTTTGGCACAAAATGATCTGGAAACGTCTCTGACCAATGATACGGACAAGTTTCACAGATTCTGATATTACTTATCTTTATTTGTCAGGATGCAGCAAATTTCTCATTTGATTGAATTTCCACTTTAGGGGGTTTAGTTACTTGTGATGAATGTAACAAG